ATTTACACATGCTTATATCAATAAACTGTTATTTTAGCATTACTAAATATAATGTACTTAATTTAGTAGAAGAGCATTAAATCATATATTCATTAAATAAGTATAATGTGTTTCGTATTTTCCGTCTATTTATTGGCTTTACATTAATTTTGATCAACTTGGTTTTACAACCTACCTTGTTTACTTTTTCACAAAAACTTGGTCGTAATAACTTTGGTTTCATAACGGAGAATTTCTTAGATAATGTCCAACATGAAGTCTTTTAACAGGTTCGGCTTTTAATGCCCCAATTCAAATTAATTTGAGTTAATTATTAAAATTATTTTAGTATGCACATGTATTGTTAAAAAAGGGATCGGAAAAGGGAAGAGATTTATGTATTCTTTCTAACCACTTCATTTGAAAGTGAGGAAGAATGGATTTTGAAAGAAGGCGACAGGTACAATTACTGTAATAATTTTATGGTATAATGTGTGAAAAAATATCAATGATAATGAAAATAATAAAAAGAAAAAAATTGTGTACATTTACATAATTAAAGTGCGGATTATTGTTCCACCTTGTAAATTAAATCGATTCTAAATTATCCATGCATCTGGTAAAAATCCTATCAAAACGTTATCAAGCATCATATAAGTTTACATACTTTTTTGTTTGTTTGTTTTGTTGTTGTTGCTTTTTTTTGCAATGAATTATATTATATTGAGAGGAGTCCCAACATTAAGTGATATTTTTACATATTGAGCAAAAAGTTCTCTCTGATGTAATTCTGCCCAAACGTTTCATATGTAAGAAATACAGCAGTAGCTTCAGTTTTAATCATCATAATTATTACGATACACAAAAAAGAAACATAATACACTGAATACCATCCTGAAACTGAGCCATCTTAACTGATTGCAATCAAATCATTGGATCGAGAGCCGCTTATCATATGTTGGAGAAGTCCAAGTTGTAATGAAGGTCATTTAAGATGTTAAAGGTCAGGCGATGGAAATTTTTCTCTTTATATATATCTAGGTTTTGTTTATATATTTCGCATTTCCTTTATATATATCTAGGTTTTGTTTATATATTTCGCATTTCCTTTATATATATCGAGGTTTTGTTTATATATTTTGCATTTCCTTTATATATATCGAAGTTTTGTTTATATATATAGCATTTCCTTTACATATCGAGGCTTGCTTTTATATATTGCTTTTCCTTTATATATACAAGTTGGCACTAATGGGCTTCCGTAATAATGTATATATTTGTTTTTATTATGTAAAATAAACTTTAATATTTAAATTTGTTTCGGCGTTTGATCAAAGTTATAGTTTTCAAGGTTTTCATTAATCAGTTAAAATTCAGCCTGGAGTAAGATATCAACTTATGACTCAACTACTGATGAACTAATAGGCTGCACCTTGTTTCAGCCCCCGAATAATTCTCACAATCATTTCCATTTACTATCACCGCAGTAGATGACACAAATGTATACAAAGAACAATAGATATGGGGAAAATAAAATATATGGGATAAACTTTGTTTTTGATTGACCAACTACTGGCATATCTTGGACATAACAGGCCATCTGGTCTATATTTTAATCAGTTTATTAATCTGTTTTCTGGTCAATTCTCGTTATATATTCAGGTCATTTGTTTCTGATACTCATCTCAGCCCCTGGGTTGTTTTTGCTGACAAATGCTTCGGGTAGACAATACTGTTCATAGTTTGAAAAATTCAGTTAATGGTAAAATGCATGGATCATATTTCACACGATTTAACTATCAAACGCATATCTTGTGGATAAGTCTTGGATCATTTATTATATCAGGTAATTTGCTTTTTTCGTTCTGAATTAAAAGAAATTCATTGTATAAAGATTGAAAAAAATATAATTTCTAAGTTTAATATTAATGATAATTGCGAAAATTCTTCTCTAGTGTGTTGCCGTATTAATATTGAAAATCCACAAAGAAATAAGAGAGGATTTTCTAGAATCAGCTTAATGAAATTCAATATAAAAAATTTTACAGTGTATGGAAGTTGTGGACGTAACTTTTCGGGAGACGTTGGGGCTTTTGCGATTACTACATCTCAGAATCGGAACTCCCCGGACACTTGTATCGTTAGAATCAATGTTACAGAAGGCAAACTTGCTATCATCAGATTTAAAACTCTGATCATAAACTGTTCTTCAGACTTTATAGAGGTATGAATTGAAAGTTTACTATTAATAAAATAAAACCTTAATTTTACAAAAGTTCACTATTTACAGTCCTAACCTATATCATTTAGGTACACCCTTTTAAATTGACCAAGTTGTATACACAAATTGTGAACAGTTAGAAACGCTTTAACGATTTTTTTTTGAACTCATGAGAACCCATGTTCTTACAGGGGATAAAAACGTCTGCTCTCTCTCTCTCTCTCTCTCTCCTTGATTTTTTTTTAAATTTAATATACAGATTCGTGATGGACGTAATGAAAACTCGGAACTAATTCGGCGATATTGCGAAAACTCTGCTTTTTCTGTAGCAGCAACACAGAACTTTATGTTCATCAGGTTTATAAATGGTGGAAATCTGCGAGATCTCGTGGTCTCAGCAGAATACTTTGTTTTTGGTAAGCAAAAAAATATCACTAGTTTTAAGGTAGTTAAAACACTGAAATAAAATGTTGCTCTATTGATATTGATTTTCTTAAAGAAGACTAATTAATTAAATTAAACACGTTTAATTTCAGTAAATATTTTCGGGCAATATTTAACAATATTGGAAACAATTTAATGTAAAGTCACTCCAGTAAGAGTTATCTTTCTCATCAGAGTATCAATGAACCTTAAAATCATTTCTGTTGGTTTACAGTAAACGTCTTTTTTGTAGAATTTTGAAGCATTCTCCTTTTTGTTTCCAGTCGAGGCTTTGTATGTTTTTGTTTTATCACATGCAGATCCCGCAGACACCAAACTGAACGCCTCCTCGGGGTCGTTTGCTTCCCCCCGCTATCAGGGCCCAGCATCTTTACAATACCCCAACAACCTCCGGGCCACAATCTCCATTTCCGTCCCCGGGGACTTTGGGATCATTTTCACGTTCTCGGAGTTTGATTTAGAGCCAGCCTACAACGGAAAGTGTCTGGATTATTTAGAGGTGTGTATGTACATAGGTTTTGGCAAAATCAACTTTTTTTTAAAATTCACACTCTAAATGAGTTTAACAGATATCCGTCATAGACGGCTGATTGCTTTAAAGCTTCCAAACAATTATAATACTGAGTATACAAACTAGCCGTCCTGCTTCCTTATACTGTAGATACAACAAGCAGACGGCAGGTCTCTAGGAGAATTCTGTGGGAACTCCAATGTAGTGGACATCGTATCTAAGTTCAACACAGTGTACCTCCATTTTGTTACGAACACAAACGTCGTTTACCCTGGCTTTTCATTCACTTGGGAAGGTAGGAATCTTCATGTATTTACCTAAGTTCAATTAGTTATATCTACAGGTAATTTTTTGCCACTAAATATAAGCTCCAAGAGTTCTTTGGAATTTATTCAAAAGTATAAATGAAATGTGTATTCATATTTTAAATTGAGCATCTTTGGCCTCAACTATCCCCCTCCTTTGAAAATTTCTAGATCCGCGCCTGGTATTAGAGCAGCTTTCGGAAGTTACGGGTACCATAATCTTGTTTTACACTTGATAGATAATTTCAGAAACAATATATCTGTGGAGGAATGTTTTTAAAACGGATTAAGCCATCAATAAGTAAATACTCCATACATAGATGTATGTACGAGGGTTGATCCAAAAGTTCGTGGAATTTCTTTCTAAAATTTTATCGTGATTTGATGAAAGCAAACAACAGGCATATTCATAATAAAGAGTCATAATGCATTAATATTGGAAAATTTCACTATTTTCCAATTACCAATGAGGTCACACGAGCTTTTTGAAAATGAATAGTTGTGAAACCCGGGGGAGACTTCGACGTAATGCACTGGGTGAAAAAAGTGGTTTCCCATCATGGGAAACTTTATGGAAACCACATGGAAACCTCAAGATTACATCATGTTTCCCAGTGGTTTCCGTAGCGGATGCTAGGTTATTCCGCCAAGTTTCCGTGACACGGAAACCCCCTACGCTCCGATTCCATAAGGTATCCCGAACCACGGAAACCTCTGTAAACCTGAAGTTTCCCGAACATCCATGTAGTTTCCCGTAATGGGAAACCTGAAGATTCCACTGGTTTCCAGAATCAGGAAACTTGATGGAATCGGAGCGTAGGGGGTTTCCGTGGAATGGAAACTTGGTGGAATCTTTAGGTTTCCTTTTACGGGAAACTACATGGAAGCTCGGGAAACCTCACGATTCTTAAAGTTTCCATGACTCAGGAAACCATATGGAATCGGAGCGTAGTGGTTTCCGTGGAATGGAAACTTGATGGAATCTTTAGGTCTCCTTATACGGGAAACTACATGGAAGCTCGGGAAACCTCACGATTCCTAAAGTTTCCTCGACTCAGGAAACCATATGGAATATGATCGTAGTGGTTTCCGTGGAATGGAAACTTGATGGAATCTTAAGGTTTTCTTTTATGAGAAACTACATGGAAGCTCGTGAAACCTTATGATTCCTACAGTTTCCTTGACTCAGGAAACTATATGGAACTTGTGTAACACTTTCTGTGTGGCGGAAACTTGGTGGAATTATCTGGAGTCCCATTCCTGGTGGAAATTACTGGGAAACTTCAAGATTCCCTAACTTTTCTAAAGGAAGCAATGTGAAATAATGTGTATTCTTTTAAAAATCTATCAAAAAAATTTATTACATGTAAAAGAAAAAAGCATTACCATTTTATATGTTTAATAATTCATTTGATGTACAAAAACTGTAACTGAATTTTTCAATGATATCAAAATATTAAATAAATCCATATATCTTAGATAAACAATGGAACAGTCTTTCACATTTAAGTCCATTCATAAGGGTCATTAAGTACTTCGTTCAACATCAGTTTCCTGGTTTTCTTCACATCACCTTTGATCTGCAATATTCATACAAAATTATTATATGATGTCAGAATTATAATACTTGGATATAACTTAGAAATCTGAAAGATCTGTCAATGTCCTTTAATATACCAATATCAATAATTACTTTCCATGACCATGATACATATGATTTCAGCTTTTAATGTATCTCTTTAATATTTAATGCTTTATGATAAGTGAAAAAAAAATAACATAAGGCCAAGCTTAAAAAATTCTTTGTTTGCAGTTGCCGACCTATAATTTTTAGTCTGAGTAGGTAGGTAGGCAATTTTTTTTTTTTTGAAAAAAAAATATTTCCAGATCTTTGTTAGATAACATAAAATTAAGTTTTTCATAGGCCTACTTTACATGAATAAGCTGCACTCTTGGTATGATTGATAAAGAAAAAAATTGAAAATGAAACAGTTTTAATATCCTGAAAAATTGGAGAGAAAAAAAATATTACAAAATGGCTAAAAAAAAGTTTGGGTCGGGTGCATTTTCAGTGGGTCGGTCGGCAACTGCAAACAAACAATATTTTATTTTAGGCCTAATATATATAATGTTTTCAGCCTTATTATGTCATTGAGAATATATTACTACATGTATCTCATACTAAGAACCCTGCTTTAAGTTTGATTAGTTTGAGAGAAAACATACTCTTTATAATAACAAAAATATTTGGGAGAGATTTTTTTTTATTTTGATATTCGACCTAGAAAATTGGTTGAAGATCATTGCAGACCCTCCACGGAGTCCACCCCATTGCACAAAAGCTAGATTACACCAGGCAGGGGAGAAATATACTCTGGACTACGATTTTAAATAAAGATATACAGTAGATCTTGATACTGACCTTTGACCTAGAAAATTGGTCCAAGGTCACTCTTCATCCACTATCCACAGGCTCTCTGTAGTTTAAGTTTGAGAGAGAAATATGCTCAGAACAAGTGATATCAGATGGAGTGATGGGTAGACACTGTCTTAGGGCATCCACAGAACAGGACCTAAAAATAATGCAATATATATGTATTACAGTATAGATACACATGTACTTGTATATTAATGACTTATCATATGCTGCATTGGACACATATGATTTTATCATGGTTTAAGTATACATGCATCTTATGAGTAATTTTATACCGGTATTGCATGTACGCTCAGTTTATTTAAGAAATAAATAACAAGTTTATAAACTTCAATGGGAGAGATACCACAAATGTATATAAAAACAAGTAATTTAATTTTTTTTTTTTTTTACATATATTGTCCAACATTATTTACATCCATTCATCATGTTCATAAATTGGCTGATCAAAATTCAGTCAGTTTTAGATCTATATGATATACCATAAAGGATTTTCACATTTACAAAAGTTATTCCCCTTTGCAGGGTCGATCTGGGGTCAACCGGCTTAAGACGCTGTTTTCCGTCTTTAACCGTATCAACTTTGAGGGACAATATCTTAGAAATAAATCAGTATGAACATATTCAATATGATTTTCATGTTGCCCCCATACTCTGCCAATACAGATACAGATTGTAATTGTCCAATATTTTTGAAGATTGAAAATATTAACAAGTAACTTACAAAGGACAAAGTGGGAAAAATGAGCGATACGCCAACAATTGGAGAAAACTCTTAGGAATGTGAAATTCGTCTATTGGTGATGACAATTCCTGTTTTAATGTCACTCAAAAATTAAGAGACATTAAAAATTTAAGCCCTATTGTCATACACGCATGCTGTTTTTTCATCCATATAACCTTTTAGTATCATAAAATTTACCAAAATTTAATACTTCAGAGACCAACAAAACAAGATGCGCTTGTGAAACACAGCAACAAAGTTCGAAAAAGCAATTTTTTAGCATACAGGTCACAGTCAAGATCACTGACACATAATCATTGTCCTTGTTGCCATTTGAAAGCACTTCATTAGTGGAGTATGCATACTAAAGTAAATATGAAGCCACTATCTCGTATAGTTCTAAAGTTATGGTGAAGGTTTAAGTTGACAACAGACACTCAGACAGACACACAGATATACAGTTATGGCAAACGTTTGACCATTATAACTTGGTATACACACAGCCACTTCGAGGTATCAAGGGTAAAATTCACAGCACAGTGGGACTGCATTTTGACTTCGAGGGATCAAGGGTTTCGAAAGATCAGGAGTTCGAGAAATCAAGAGCAAATCTGCTTAGTTATGTAGTGGAAAAAATCGGGACAAGAGACACAATTCAAGCGATCAAGAACTTCCGAGAAATCGAAGTTCAAGCCATCAAGAGTTACCTGTATATACAGATATAAGAAGCATGTTATTATTTGCAATTTTGACCTAATGACAGCTAAATCTGTTCAGTAAGACAATACCGTGTACATGTATGTAAGTAGTTTTATTGTGCATGATTATTTACTTATTTTCTTGATCTTCTCAACTTGAAGTGTTCTGTAATTTATTACCAAGTTTGTAATAAACATAATGAAACATACCCTTTTCCACATCACATCCTGTATCAGACCTTCGACCAATATCAGCCCTAGGGTCTCTGTCCCTCTGGCTGAAATTGGTGTCTCGGGCTAGGATGCGATATGGAAAGGAGTATGTATTATTTGCTATATTATACATTGACCTACTCAGGTCAATAATTGTGAAAAAACTGATAATTCAAGCTGATGATTCATTTGCATTTCATGACATACTATCAATATTAATTCACTATTAGGATTTTCTTTTTCTACATCTTCATCTCAACAGGTTAGACATTACAAAAAAAAATCTTTTGAGCAGTAAACTATTTCAATAAACAATAAAACAAACCTAATCTCTTCAGAAAAGAGGACAGGCTTTCACCTACATTCACTTTTTTATGTATATTTTCCCTCCATATCATCGTCATGCATATGATTAAGGGTTATGCTATTCGCTACAATCTGTTCTGATGAGGATATCCTTCATGAATAATCGGATAAGCTGAGATTGAAGACACTTTTTTGTAAAAATATCGATGCTTTTATCAAAGTTTTGAACCAAAAATATTTAATTTATACCTTGCCATAAGTCGTAAGTTCCAAAAAAACAAGAGTTGGCTCCCAAAAGTCAGAAAACACATGTGGTATTCAAACCGGATGTTCTACAGTCTGAATTTAATTACGAAACCATGTTCGGTGTAACTATTATCATCCGGATAATTTGAGCGGGGTTTAAAATATTTTTTTTTTAAATTCCGAAAAGTATTCATTTATATAGAGAGAGAGAACATACACATGGAGCATACATTTTAATAAACATGATAAAAGGCGAAACGTTGAAAATTTACAACATACAGCATGTACATGCACGGTGCCTTCATAATATATAAGTTATGCTATATCAACGTCTCAAATTTCTCTCTCTCTCTCTTTCTTTCTGCAATATATACACTTAACAATTTAAAACTTAGGTATCCAACTTTTCAAAATGGCGTCAGGACAAAAGTTGCCTCCGATAGTGAAGATTTGTTGTTGCCAAATATTACAACTATTTACCGTAAAAAGTTAACAAAAATATACGTACACTAATCCTTCATCGTTGGCCATTGCATTTATCACAGTCTTAAAGACACTGGGTGGTGAAACCATCTTAACTTTTCACATTTACCAGCTGCTTACACCTTCTTCTTCGTCCTTCTCGATCCTCCAAAAATGGCGCCTCGGGAAATTGACCAATGAAATAAAGCGCCTACAGAGCGATGCAGGATGGGAAATATAATCTGTTTACATTCACTATGATTAAGTGTGATTATGAGATCTTATATTAGAATTTAATTAAGTTTTCCCCTTTTCATGGAATAAAAAGAGGGGCTCCTAAATATTTTTGCCGATATGATGTGTAGGCCTAGTATAATTATTTAGAAAAAAAGCGGTTAAATACATGAGGCAAGAGCAGAAAAAAAAATTGTTTCTTGTTTGACACCTCAACTTATTTGCCTTCGGGATATGGGTTTCGGGGCTTGGTTGTTGGTAGTGGCCGTCCTTGCTGAAAGTACCCCCCCCCCCCCACACACACACACACACACCTCCCCGCTTCTTTTAACTGTTAAATGTATGATTATGAATTTATAATGTCACACCAAAAGATGTTAAATTTTTAAAAGCACATTTTTTTTTATTGTGAACTTTCCACAGGAATCCTTAAAGGCATGAAAATAAGCTACAATTATAATATGATTATCAAGAACAGTTTTTTTATTTCAATAGTGATGATTGAAAAGTTCGGTGTTTAATTCATTGCTAATAAATTGTTGTGTTTTTTTTTGGGGGGGGGGATTAAATTACTAATCGAACTCCCTCCTTTTCGGGGTTTAATTAGATTTTGAGCCTGCTATCAATATTACTGGTGGACCTGCTAGACTTTTCTCTAATTGCTACATGTACATTGTACTTTAACATGTTTAAACTCCTTGGCCTTTAGCTAAAAAAATTTCCCACATCATTTTAACACGTAAAATTGTTAAATGAATCAGAATGTTGAAAACCTTTTTCTTAGGAGAGTTATATCTCTAGCTGGAACAAAACTAACATCTCATCAAAGGCAGGAGATATAACAGTATTTTAATTCAATATTTTAGTCGTGATTGGTATAAGTGAAGTCATGGGAAAGATTATGTCGAAATTCATCTATACTCGTTGATGTGCAAGGCTGTACTTATGCATACAGCTTTAGCTGGTCCCGCCCTGTATTTCTTTTAATGTTTTTTTTTCGTTAAGAAATCTGGTAAGGTATGCTAGTAAAAATAAAATCCCGGTTAGTTTATTACTCTTTCGGAAATTACTTTCCTACAGGCCTGAAGATCGAGTCTATTAGTCAAGCAATGTTTTTTTAATAAAAAGAGTAGCATGTCGGCGAATAAAAATAAAGTAGTGTACACCATAGATAAAGAAATGTTTGTTTGAGTATTGACAAAATTCATACCTTTATAGAATGAAATCAACAAAAACTGCACAAAAATACAATCGTGACAATTATACAATGAATTAATTATACAATTAATTCTTTTAATAGATTGCCTTAGCATGCACTACTTTAAAAGCCATTGTTCTTATGGAAAACAAAATCATGCAAAATATTATAGACTTTTCTTTATCTAGAGCAATGGCCTTTGGAGAAAAAAAAATGGCTGAAATTTTTTTAGTTTGTTAATTATAATGTATGTGCATTTAGGACCCTACATTGTAATTTCATGCGAAAAGTGCAGGCGTTTACTACACGGGGATCTGCGTACATATTTAAACAAAAAAGGGGGAAAAACGTTTTATGTGATGAATTATATTATAAACATTTATCTAATAAATGTCTTTGTAGTACGTTAGATTACAAATTTCACACAAAAACCCATCAACAATATTAAATACAGTTTTGATTTCACATTGATCTATTAACGTCATTCTGATTTAATATAATTATACACGACGAGAATTAAGATCTATTCAATACCTATAGAAAATTATTTAATTTCTAAAGAGGAGAGTTTTATTTTAAATCAGTAATGAAAATTGAAATAAAAATTCTAAATAGTTTGTTCTTTCATTGAACTTCTTAAATGTAGGTTATTTTATAAATATGTTCTCTTGTATAACTTTATTTATGGAATATACAATTTTTTAAATGATAAAAGAAATTCGAATCATCATCTTAATTTAAGAGAATTTTCGGTCGGAGACTGTGTGTGTACATGCTCGACAACAGCCCATTGTTCCCTTTAGGTACAAAACCGTCTCAATTCACATAGAATATACAAAAAATACACAGTGACAGGTGTCTTCGCGGCACGTGTCTCCACCTGATATGGCACGTGAGGACAGGTGTCCCTAATTACACAGGCCGATCATAGTGACTTTTTCAAAAGCGTTTTTTTTGGGGGGGAGGGGCTTCTCAAGAAAAAAAATAAAAAGCAACCCACCCACCCCAATAATAAAAACAATGATTTAATAAATTAAAAAAGACAATATTCACTATTAATAGTAAAATGCTAGTATGATAATACTCAGCCCCAAGCCAATTCGATGAATGATTCTTATCTGACCAGTTTATATTAATATATTAATTCATATTAAAACAAAATCTTTATCAATTTCTAAACTTGTATTTAAAAACTTGAAACACTAAAAATGTAATTTTGACAAACCAATTGAAGTATTTTTTCCCTGACCAATTACCCCGGTATATAAGAAATGCCAACCTCTGGTATCTAACACAAATGCCTGGTAAGGTACCTTGATGTCTTGTGAATACATGTGATTATGTAAAAATAATTTTTCAATGTCAATTGCAAAATATTGGAAAAAAATTAATTATTTTATTGAGGAACGTCTCACCTGTCCTTAATCAGTAATCGTAACTTGACATATTTCTTTATTTACTTTTTAATCGATCTTTTTAGTAAACCTTTTCTGTAAATAATTTCATTAAATGTACCCTTCCTTAGCTCTTCCATTTTTTTCAAAGGAACATTCATCATAGACAGCTTCAAGAAAGTGGGATCGGAATGATTGATTTCTACATAACTGCATGCACTTACTTTTTCCTATTCCACTTCACGCATTCTATACGAGTTTACCAAAACTTATGTGATAAATCAAATTCAAAATTAAATTAAATTAAATAAAATTCAGTTAAATAAAATTAAATTAAAATTGAATTGCGTTCACGGTGCTGAAATATTAAATTAATCACACAGAAATACACATCTAGTTATTTTAACTGTTTGAAGTTAATTATTTTGATACAGCATGTAAACACTTTTGAAATATTTCTATAATTGGTAAAAATATGGTAACATAATTAAATATTTAACTTTTTGTAAAATAAAAGGTAGGTTGGTTAGTATTGAGATATACTTTCAAAGTTTCCCTGCCTGGGAAACATGGGGAAAACTACACATTGGTGGCTTCCATGTCGGGAATCTGTATGGAAACCACTAAGGCATGTTTACATGGTTTCCTATCTTGGGAAACTTACGGGAAACCACAGGTTGATTGTTTCCATGTCGGGAATCTATGTGGAAACCACCGGGGTATGTTTCCACGGTTTCCTATCTTGGGAAACTTACGGGAAACCACAGGTTGATTGTTTCCATGTCGGGAATCTATGTGGAAACCACTATGTGGTTTCCATAAAATGGAAACTATATGGAAACTACTGATGTCACGATTCCCATATGTTTCCATCGGGTTTCCAAATTTGGGAAACCTGGCTTTTCATCCTGTGATGTCAAGTTAGATATGTCACGTCACCTTATAGATGCAACTCGCCCTAATGTCCAATTTGAATTCGTAATTCTACAAAATGTTGTCATCTATTTTTTTCCTCAAAAAAGCCTGGGTATCCTCTTGCACCAACTTACTATCATTTTTCACTCATATTTCAAATTACTACCCATCTTTCTATATGATGTTCCAATTTCAGCAACAATGTCAAAAACTGTACGGCAGCCGACAACGTCCATTAACGCTTTTAATTTGTTCAGGGGGATCTGCACTTAAAACAGAGCCTCCAAAAAGCGACCACACCTTTAATCAACGTCCATGGCAGTTCTATTTTCTTAAATTTCTTATGCCACCGAAAAACCAGTAATTTAATGTATGTTTCCCAAGCCTTTGTCAATAATATACGCGTTTAAGATAGAGTGATCCCGGATTTTTCACAAAACGTATGACTTGACCGAGATTTGACATTGTCTAACAACTAATAAAGATGAACAATAAATAATCAATTAATAAACTAAATATCCTGTAAAATCAGTGAAACTTTCACACAAAGGTTTATAAAAGATCAAGCAATCATAATAATGACATAATTTTCGTTTTATATACCACATAGGCCGGGTTAAATCTCATTTCACGTATTAAGAATTAAAATGAAAATAATCACGTTAATGTCTCCCCCGCATTTCCAAACAACCGTTTCTATGGCAACTGCCATAGAGTTCCTATCAAAGATATTTAAACTGTTTTTCAATTTAAAATTTTCATCAAGTGTCTATATTTTCATTTGTAATTTTCAACCAATTCCACTTAAAAATATATAAAATATGAAAAAATTCCACGAACTTTTGGATCAACCCTCGTATATAAGGGTTGTCAATAAAAGGTACAAGGACTTAAAGATGCAACGGGCGGTTTCTAATTCCTTGAAAACATCGGACGCCATTTGCAAGTCATCATATGTAATACATTGAACCTGACAGCTTAATTACCCTTCACTTCGTAGGACTAGAAATAAGGCAAAGATATATTTTTGTATGCATGATGCATTAAATGTTATATGGTTCATAACCGCAGGAGGTCATTCCTATCCCCTGAATCCTGAAATGGACAAGTCTCGAAAACAGTTGACCGAGCTTGGAGATCATTCTCATCCCCTTTAGTTCTAACCGAAGACCTCATTCATCTTGAAAAAGATAGCGTTGAAGTTTATAAGAACAATTAAGTGGTGATGATCAAATAAAGTAATGTTGGTGGGGATTCGGCTCGGCTAGATACTGGTTTTGGTCGGCGAAGGCGTCATACATGTACCAGATATCTAACCGAGCCGTCAGACCAACAGGATTATAGATACAGAAGCACAAGTTAATATGATGTATTTTACCCTTGCAAAACTTAAACCAGTTCAATTTGGGTTTCTTTACAATTTCATTATAGAAACTTTAATTTCATGTCCTCGTTTCTTCGGAATAGCTTTAGCCTCTATCCATCCAAATCAAACAATATTCCTTTCGGTTTCACGATTGAAATGAAAAAAAATTTGCAGTCCCTCCCGTTGAAAATTCGATTGTGTGTCAGTGTTTTTGAAACATTTGAATGCCAGACGCACTTGTACATGTGACCGTCTTCACAGTACCCAGTATGTTTTTGATGATGTTTCTGTTTATGATTACGTTATCATAAGTTTTTAAAATATATTAATTTTTGAGGAATATTTGTTCTTCAGTTTGTGGTGGCGTTATAGACCAGGCGGCGGGAACCATGGTCCTCCCCACCTTTAATGGTTACTATAGAAACAACATGGACTGTACGTATGTTTTCCGACAACCGGAAGGAAAACGAGTCGCCATCACCTTCACCCAGTTCAACCTTCAGCAGAGGAATGCCGACGGGAAGTGTATGGATTATGTTCAGGTAACTCTCGATCCGTGCTGTTTGAGCAACTCTGATGTTTAAGTGTTTGAGGCTGCGTGAACACTGTATTTTTACAGATGTAAAAGACTAACGTAAAAATCTTTCATTTTTATAGATTTCTGATTCTGGGTCCACACTACCGATAGCTGAACATTGTGGAATCATATCCTCCCCTTTCACAGTGACCTCGACCTTTAATGAACTCTCTGTTCGGTTTTATTCTGATGCTTACACACAAGGAACAGGAATCAGTATTTCCTATATTCAAGTTGAACGTAAGCTATGCTATTGGGTATTCCCCCAGTTCAAGTCGAACGTAAGCTATTCTAATGGTATTTCCTATGTACAAGTCGAAAGACAGCTATTCTTCTTGGTATTTCCCATGTTCAAGTCAAACTTGAGCTGGTCTATTGATCATTATGATTCATGTTCATGAAAATTAAAAAAAAAAACATTATTCATGACCCTAGTCTTATTCAAAACAATGAAGATTTATATTCATGTATGAATTATCTGTATTAACGGGTTTTCTTTCTTCTTAAGCCTGTGGCGGGAAATATGAATTGCTGGAAGGTCGCTTCTTCCCCCCGGTTTACAGCAACCTATACTCCGCCAACGAGAACTGTGACTTTCATATACAGACTTATACCGGAAGTAAAATTATGGTTGCCTTTAGCAAATTTAGACTAGAGAATAACTGGGCAGCTAGTTGTGTGGACTATTTAGAGGTAAAAGATTTGCACGTAACCTCAAAATTTACTGAAAGATTTAATTAACACTGTATCTAATGCACAGTTCAAGTCTTTTAAGAATGTCTACAAAAATTATCCAGAATAATAAGATATTGTGGTTAAATCAAGTTTATTCTAGAGGACCCACTTGTATATAGATAAATGCACAGTAGAGATTAATAGATGTCAGTGTTGATTTTTTTTCTCAGATCGTTGACCCGTTTGCTTTCGAACACCAAACTCTATCAAACGGGGATCCACATGATCACGTCCTGGAGAACAGCCACAAACATTACTGCGGCGCCACTTTCCCGCCAAACACGCTTTACCATGGCAATGAGCTATTCATCAAGTTCCGATCGGACGGGACGGTGGAGACTGAGGGGTTCGTCTTAGAGTGGGCAGCGTGTGGTGGTAAAATAACCGACCATTACGGTGAAATCAAGTCACCGGAACTCTACCTCGCGCATGCGTTTGATATAACATGCGAGTACACTATAGAACCACTAGATGTGGAATCCTTTTTTGTGCAGTATAAATCAGAGTACACTCAGTCAAGCGCCTGTGATAATGCTTTAAAGGTATACCAACAAATGTTTCTTGGAAATTTATTTATGAAAATCAGTTTGTTTCATATAAAAAAAAATAAAGATTTTGAAAAATATTGAATATGTTTTCAAATCTATAGGTTGAAGAAATTGGTCCCCAGAACAGTACACTGCTAAATCTTCCATGTTCAAATGAGGGAAATGGACTGTTACAAACTGGAGCCAAGAAATTAAAGCTAACCTTTAATCAGGCACTCGGAAGACCTCGTGGTTTTAAGTATAGTCTTATATGGACAGGTCCGTTTTTCATATTGTAACATATTCTAAAGCAGTTAAAAGATTTTTTTTCTGTATGATAAGTGCCTATCTTTAAAATAATTTATCTTTTTATCATTTAATAGCTTGTGGCAGCCGGGTTACCACGCCTACAGGCAAAATTCGATCACCATTTTGGCCTGGATTTTATCCAATTAAACGATCGTGCTCTTACGTCATAGACAGCGTGTCTGGAAGCAATGTTGTGTTGGATTTCTTGAACTTAAATCTTGTAAAAACTGGCACCTGTGAAGACTATATACAGGTGAATGATGATGCTTTTTTTTTTATTTCAGCATGTTTAAATGACGAAGAATATACAAATAAAGTTAAGATTATCAAGTTCGGAAAAGAGAACCAATTAATTAAACCAATACTATAAGACTTTTTGAAAACATCTTTTATCATTATACCAAATATTGACTTTCATTGTTTTTCATGTTGAGACTTGTAAAGGAATCAGAAGGATGCAAACTTTATCGTGTAAATAAATTTTACATAGTCAAGAGTTCATTGCAATCTATTTAGGAACATTGACTGTTGTCTTTGTTAAAAAATATACAAATAATTTACTAAAGAGTATTTAATCTATGTAATGCATATATACTTTATACTTATAGCTTTATTCTTAAATTTTTAAAAGATCCACAATGGTGTTGACGAAAATTCTCCATTGTTAAGAGTGGTGACCGGAAGTACGATCCCAGAAACAACGATATCGACAACCAGTCGTATGTTCGTTAAGTTTGTAGCCCAGTGTGACGTCAGCTCGGAGGGATTTCAGGCCAAATGGAGTGGTGAGTACTGTCGTAACCCAAAAACCTGCCTTTATTCATTCTTAAATGTAATCAGCATTGCTGATTTATCTAAATATGAAATGTTTTACCTAGTGTGTGGAGTGACATTGAGTGAAGAATCGGGAGAAATTATGTCCCCTAGTTATCCTAAGAATTACATCCGGGACATTGTCTGCAGTTACACCATCACTCAATACCCAGGAAGGATAACCTCTCTTACTTTCATAGATTTCGATGTCGGATCCAAAGTGGACGGGTCGTGTATCGATGATTATGTAGAGGTAAAGTGGACATGTAATGGTATATTTCGTTTGAAATTTTTATAGGCTTTGTTCTCTGTTACACATATCTAACGTTACTTGGTTAGTACATAGTATGTTTAGAAAAAAAAAATCCTTTTTAAAATTCATTTTGTAGTGTTTTTTTCTGTTTTTCTTATTTTTAAGCCAGCATTTCTTTTGAGGTATAAATAATGAGTCATAAAGTGGGTTGGTGGTTATCTGTCACGGTGCAGCTTTGCGAACCAAGTCTACCTAAGAAATTAAGATATTTGTTAAGTGAAATATTTGCTTAATTCTGAATCTTCTTGTTTACATTGGAGGTGAAAACTTATTTGTCACTTACTTTTTGATAAACACTGAAACTAAACACAACGGAATACATGTAAGTGATTTATAGCATTTGATGGAATGTAGGTGTAATATATAGCACATGTAAGTAAATTTATTAAACACAATATGAGCTCGTTTTAAAAAGAACATTCTGAAATACATAAAAGTAGTGTAATAATGTAATCATCTACTAATGTGAGTTTGCTTTTTTATTGCATTTGTGTATTCTGTATTGTAAATATTTAATTTAATTATCATGTTCATGAAGCCAGCAACTGAAAAGCGTACAGATTTATGATGGTGGGATCAATCACTAGTTCTAAAATTTGCATTGTTTATTGAACTTTTTGAGCATGATTTCTCTTCGTTATCTCCAATTTTTTTTTAATTACCACTTTTACAGATCAGAGATGGATTTTTTCGACAGTCTACTTTGTTAGGAAAGTATTGCGGTAAATTACAAAGATTCACCATCAATTCCACAAGTAACACCCTTAACCTTATATTGGTATCCAGTAGCAACCAAAACATCCGGTACGGAGGGTTCAAGGCCATATACAAATCCAATGTCAAAGGTAGTATACCTAGAAATAAACATTTTAACAGTTTAGTCAGCCAAATTTATGAATTGTGCAGTTTAGGAATGAGGAGGGGGGATGGTATTCCTCGCAATAAAAGGAAATCATTAACATCGGTGGTTATTGAATTAAGTTTATATGTTAATTATTTATTATTTAAAATCAAATCATATTGTTTTCAGTAATGAAAAGATATTTCTTGTATAACCATGTAGCTGCTATATTGAGTTTTTTTTCTTCTCATATAGAGACGATGTTAACTTCTACAGCGGCATCACCAAACTTCACAGTTATCTACAAAGGACTAACTGCGGATCAACAAAATTTACTGGGTAAATAGATGTAAACTGTGTAGCTTTATGATGCATTTTGTTCATGTGGACATACCATTTATTATAATGACTTGAGGTGATAAGGGATGTTTAAATGAGTAAGGAATTTTCTTACACAGCTCTGATTTTTACATTAAAACTAGCTCAGGGGAGGACATCATATTATTGTCGTTTACCAAGTTTTGTTGTCTTTTTCGGTACACGTTAATTCCAGACGGCCCTTTTGTCTGTTGTAGATCTGGATATAGCGCTCATCTGTACCTTATCCATTATCATCGTTATTCTCATTGTTGTTATCCTCGTCCTCTTACTACTGAAAAGAAAGAACAAGTAAGCAAAGATGTTGAGGAGCAATAATTGAAAAAGTTAATTTGTAGAGAATTACAGTTAAGCTTTATAGATTTTTAAAAGGCCAAAAAAGTTTTTTTTAATGTTCGAGACTAACATAATAATAATATTTAGACGCATGTATGTTAAAATTTGAAAATTAGTTTTTGTTCATTTGAAAGAAATAAATACCAGTAAAATTGTTCGTTTGCATGTTTTCTCTGAAATAGATACATTCGATGTTTACATACGTTTTCAGACCACCTTTGATTGTACAAGAGCAAAAGGTTGAAGTTTCGAACTCTTCACGCAATGATGGCGTGTTAAATTACCGTGATAACACTCAACTGTTAGACATTTACAACAAAGTTGATTCGCCTAGCCATCAAAACAAAGATGACGTGAAAGCAGAAATTAACCTTACACTACAACAACAGCTAAGAGAACAACAGAGACGCAAAAGTACAGGAAGTCACGTGACTCGTGACGTGTACGTACAGCCGCTAAGAAAGCCTCTGCAGGAAAAGATTCAAGAATCCACGGAATTCAAAGCTACCTCTCCGTCCAGTGTGGCGAGTTACAAACAAACTGCTGACAACTACGCTCAGATGACAGAGACATTTAAAGAGGACACTTTTGATTTGGATAACTACACCAAAGTCGACCCACGTGCTAAAAGCCCCGTCCTTAAATTTTCTACAAGCAAGAAAGGATATGCGAACGATACTTACGATGACGTAGAAAGCACAAGAGCAAAGACATCCTCTGAAATGATGTACCTGTAGTAGGAAAAAACCCATATGAACCTTAGCATTTCAATATGCACTAAATATTCATTCAGTGATGGAGGACACGTTAACTTACACATCTGCCTGCTTTGACCTTGAATATACTTTGGAGGTATATGTACATGACTCAGACAATAAAGAAAAATCAACAAACTTACAGTTTATTAGAAATCCTCTCATAAGGTGATGATAATGAATTATTAAGATTAATGTCGAGATTTCCTGTCTTATGAAAAATGTATTGTCAAGTGTTACGCAGCATGATCTTTAATAAATCATGATATTTTGTACCAATTGATGCATGTGAAAATATATATGTTAAAAACCCACACATGAAAGAAAGAGTTAAGTTTCTTTGTATTTGCAATTATTAAAGACGTTCGATCCTGAGCTTTTGAGCGGATTTTGGTCCTGTCCTTTATTTATAAAATTCTGCATCATTTTTAGGTTCTAACATTAAATCTGAATTCTTTAATGCAAATTGAACTATATTCAGTGAAAAAACGCGATTAAATTCCATTCAAGTAGACTTAAGCTAGGAACTATTTTCGTGGCGGAAGGTTTTTAGAAGAAAATGATCAGTTTTTTCCCTTTTGAACTATAACAGTACTGTTAAATTTAGATTTCTATTTTTCCATGCTGGTTGCACACAAAGCTGTTTTTTGCTGTGAAATGTGTACGCTGGTTCTGAACTATCCATTAAATTATTTTTAATGAATTCTTTCAAGGAAATGTGACAAATATAGTAAATACATGTATATTCTGTAAATCCAGGAAAAAATTGAGCAAATTTTAGTGAAAATTTACACTTTTTTAGTAATTTCTGAAAATTTACGTCATATACCCCCACTTTTGATGTTCTTTTCTAAATATTTAAGACAACTTTGACCCATTTGCTTATTTGCAGAAAAAGTTTCAGACTTTAAAATAATTTTCTTGCTTATTAAATTTTCAATGCCAGAAAAATCACATTTTATTAGTGTAGAAAGGTCAAAGAATTAAATATGCGAAGTAATTTGAAACTTTTTCTTAGTCACACTTTTAAACCCTTATAGCGAGCGCAGCTGATCAGCGTCGCGAAGCGACGCTCGTAACTGCATTTAAGATTTATGTGACTCTTTTGTTTTATGTGACTGACAACGCCTGGGCGAAGAGAAAATTTGGACTACTGCACATTCATTCTTTAGAATTTTTTGCCGCAGTAATTTTGACCCACAATGCATCACTTAGCAAAGTTGCATTCTCGCGAGAATGACGGCAAATGTTCAACAAAAAGTTTACTCGCCTTGATTAAATGGATACATATTGAAGATAAATTGTAAACGTAACTTTTTTCATTAACTTTCAGCACTGTTCAGTTTTTTTTTGGAATCAAATTTTTATATATTTGTGAAAACTTTACATACGACGTCATGTGACGTCAGTGTAGTCTAGACGCACCAAATGTCACGTGCGGTTTGACGAGCCCGATCTAAATTAAAACGAATAGAAGAGTTTGCGCTCGCTCTAACGGTCGCACCGTAAAGCTGAAACTTATATGGATTGTTCAACATATTAAAGACGTCAGAGACCGTAATCATAAAACCCTTAAGCGTTATCAAAACTACACAAAAACTGCTTTATCTTAACTTTAAAACTACCAGAAAAGGAAACAAATTCTGGATATTAGGTTACTAATTCACAACAAAAGTCTGTTATGAGGAGCATGAAAGAAGATGCAAGCATGATTAAGAATCGTTTACCTTTGCACATTCTTAAGAAAGAAATAATATTGCTTATTATAAATAATTATACATAATATAATTTTTTTTGATTTTTGAATTAAAAACAGCATATATTAATAACCTGTTTAAAAAACCCTTATCTTTCAACAGGTGTATTAATTTTTTATTAATCGTTACGTGAATATAAAGCGAGGGTGGAAATACGAAATTAAATTCCAAATTTCATAACTTATTCCTATCAATTTATGTTCCAGTATGTCAAATTCGTAAAGAAATAGAAAAGAATCAAAGACAATTTTTAAACTCTTCAATGTCATTCCATTTCCGATCCCTTTTTTTTATTTTATTTTTATTTTTTTAAATTTAAACTAAACATACTTCCTTTTTTCACAAGAGTTTGCCTTCTTTAAAGGTTTCTTTCATGGGGAGGAATTGGAAGCAAATTTATATACATCTGAAAAGAATCAAAGCGGATCCTTTTTTTTTATTTTTTATTTTTTTTTTTTTAAATAAACATTCACAAGAGTTTGGAAGTTTCTTTCATGGGGGGGGAAGCTATATACAGGCCCCCCCCCCCCCCCTTTTGAGTCCAAAAAATACACAATATTTGATAAATCAATGTTTTTTTGGTGTGGCTGTGGGCCCCTACCCTGACCTCAAACTGGTCGCCCCCCCCCTTTTCAAAATTTCTGGATCCGCCACTGATATAAAAGCATTATAAAATGTTTGAATATCATACAACACTGTCAGATATATTTGAATTTAAATCGGGTTCGTAATACCTAAATTTTGTTTTGCCTGTAGTACTTTCACTTTCTTCACGATCAAAGTCCAAAACAAAGTCAGCTGTTACTTGTTGGAGAAAATGGAAAATAATGTCGACGTCGTGACAAAAATATTTACAAGGTTGAGAAGACTTTTCTACATTGTGTCTCCAAAAGAAACTTCTTTTCCAACAGTGGAAAAAGTTCCAAAGTATGTCGATGAGGTATGTATTGATACTGAATACCATCCTGAACTTTTCATTGCTTTTTGTCTGTGTGTATTAATATTTATCTTGGGTTATGGCCAGTAAGCAATACTTTCATATCCTCCCATTTATGGCTTTCAACTTTGTAATGTTACCCAACTGGTTCATTGGTTTACTTGGTCTGATGGCTGACATATTCCTGCGAAGAAATCATGTTTCACCAACATATACTGTTTCTAAAAACCTTACAGCTGATGAAATATCATTCAGTAATGTTCTCTGTTTGACGGGACTAAATGCTCCAATATATATATTCAGTGGCTGCAGCTTTAAACTGGCTTTTAAAAATTGTCTATATCACCATGATCAGAACGATGCTTAAAGACAGAAATAGGAGTATTTTAGAATATATTTTATGAATAGATTATGTCTACAATAAATTCAATGATTGGAACAAATTAGTTACGAAAATGAATTCTTCGAATCTGTTTTGGCATTTCAAATTTCATCTTTAGAAATTAATATTAATATCAATCAAAAGTGAGAAGTTTTAAAAGTGGCATACACGGTGCCTGAAATAACATGTTGTGTTCAAGAAGAAGAACATTTAAGCAATAAGCTAAGGGATCTAAGTGGTGCATTCATTAGGATATTTGCTGATAAAAAAGGGATATAATGATTAGAATAAGATATCCCCTCTAGCTTGTTTAATGTTCAATGGAAAACAGGATTCCTTCCCCAGTGGAAGTCCTACAGCAGAGTTTCCAAGATGGAACGTCTTTATCAACAAACCCCTACTGTATACTTTTGTTGCACTTCGATATTTACTTGACTCTTCTCATTAACCCTAATGTCGTTAAACATATCATTTAGATACATGTACGTATACTTCATGTTATTGCGAATAAATTTGAAATTAATATTTTCCAGGCCATACCATTTTTCATTTGTTTGATAATTCTGGAAGTTCCTATTTTGTACTTGAGAGGGAAACGCCTGCCGCGATTTAATGACAGCTTTGGTTCTTTGGCGAATGGGCTGCTGTCTCTATTGCACGGGTAAGTATTAAAGGGACATGGACACAGTTTCAACTGATTTGTTTTTTTTTTAAACAAATTTTAATGTTTACAATTCCTAATTAAGGCAAATCAAATGATCAGCAAGAAATTTTTAAAACATCTAATTGTTGATTTACAAAGATTATACAGAACTTAAAATTCTTCATAATCTAAACAAGGCTCGAGCCTTGTTTTTGTTTTCATATAGAAAATATCATATTTATAACAAAATAATATTCAGTAAATCAGTAAAAAATTGTCCAATGCTATTTAGAATTAAGTTCTTTATTGAAAAATTTGCTCTGAACGAATATATATTAGTATATTTAACCTACGTAAACAAAAACATGACACGGGCCTTGTTTACATAACAAAGATTTGGAGCTCTAAATCTGTCTTGTATCTCGACAACTGAAATTCAAACTTTTGATAATCATTAAGAATAATTATTTGCAGAAAAGACGGAAAAATAAGTTTGAAAAATTTCAGTTGAAACTGTGTCCATGTCCCTTGAAAAAGCTTTTTAAGAATTTACATATTTGAAAAATTTCACAGCAACCTTACCAAAACTTATAAGAAACTGTGTCCATGTCCCTTGAATTAGGTACAAGCTTTTTAATTTGGAATTTACATATCAATTCTTGCACCCATCATACACTCACTCTATAAATAATTTAGTCCTATGTCAAAATTCTTGGAACAATACCATAAGACAAATTTAAAGTTTCTCTTATCGCTCTAACCTTGACACGCTCTCTTTTTTGACAACATCAGACAAAATTGAACGTTTCCGCCCGACATCCCATTTCGGTCTTTCTGTCCTCTGCTGATCATTCAATGACCATTACCTACCAAAAATCGCTGAACCTATCTATAAACAAGTCTTTATTTACATTTTTTCCTCTGCGTGTCTGATTAATCATCGTAACTGTCTCTACTGCCGATTTCCATATTTTGACGTAAAAATGCATTACAACTCGTTTCAGCAGTTTTCTACCATTTCGACATTTCCTTTGTTCAATACCTCAGATTAAAACAACAATGTTTATGATCAAAAAGCAATGACGTCATTTTATTTTCAACTTAAAGACTAAAAATGTCTTAAATTTTTGTCTTATAAAATATTGGGTGATTAGACGCGTTTTTAGATGCTTTTCAATGTGTTTGTCTTTTTTCATTCTAACAATATACGCTTTAAAACGTGACGTTTAGTTGCGACGCGGCGACACCCCTTATGTTTCAAACGTATATAAAATTAATTCAATGAAACATTATTAAATGAAAATTTCAATTTTGATTAGATTTATTTTGGTGCATCTTTTGATACATTACATTTGATAATATTACGCCAAATATTAAAGATATGGACACAGTGACATTACTTTTGGATCAACCCTCGTATTTTATAGTCCACGGAAGTAATTCATATTCTTTCGATACTACGTTTTTAAGGACATTTTTCTCCTCACATTTTCAGGCTGCTGTTTCGTTCTGTGGAGCTGGTGACCTATATCTGGGTCTATGAACACTTTAACCTTGTTGACCTCCCGTGGGACAGTCCGTGGACCTGGTTATTAGGCTTCCTGGGGGTGGACTTCGGATACTACTGGGTACATCGATGCGGTCACGGTAAATAATCATTCTACATCACTCCACTATAGTATATAGTTATGAGAATAACTTTATGAATTTTAACCAAAATGCTATTTTTTTTATTTCTTAATTTCTTAAAATATTCTACCGGTACTTTTAACTCTTTTTGGTGTAGCTGGTAAACAAATACAAATAAAATGTACATTTAATTTCACTACTCTCCACCGCTAATTTCATAATGACGCAGAAATAAGCAAGTTTCCTTTCTATCCATGATTTTGCATTAGTCAACTTAGTTCTGATTAAGGACAGATGAAATAAACAAATTTTTGTCAAAAAATTTGAAAATAACAACTTGAGTCATGTTTTAATTAGTAAAATGAATAAGTTTAACCGTGGTTTTTGAATTTTTATTCAAATTCTCAAAAAATGGGATTTGAAGAGAAAAAATATTTGTATAGATTAATAAAGATGGTTTCTGAGAGGTAGAATTTTGAACATCATAGAAGGTTTACAATTTCTTTATATTGAAGAAATTTATTTTTTACATCATTTTCAATGAAATAAGACCAGAAAATATATACCAATCCAGGCATCCATTTTTTTTGCTTGTATCATCTGTCCTTAAGAGTAAAGTAGTTTGTTGCATCATTTATTCAATGTTTTGCGTTCAACATTTTCAGAGAAGTATAAATCTACCTATCATAATAATGCTTATCATGATATATGTAATTATATATCTCCAGGGCATCTGATCCCACCTAGTTGCTAGCTTGCCATTAAGATTATGGGTATATGAAACAAATGAGTAAGATTCTGCATTGTCTTATAATTTGTGTAGATATATCGGTCAATGTAGGTAGGAAATTGGATACTGTTTGCTTATAAAACGTCGTAGATAGACGTATATTTAATGGTCGAATTGTAGACCACAATAAGATTTGTCTTTTTTTTCATTTAAATATTTTTGAATATATTCTGTTACTTGTGAAAAAACAGGTCTGCTAATAACACACGACAACGTATGTAAAATGTGTTCCATTAATGTTGAATAAAAAAAACAACAATATATGTCTTGAGAATGTGAAATGTGAATGAATTCTAGGCAAGTTGTTTAATGTGCAATTACAACAAGTAATATACGATTTTTAAGGTATTATAGTTCTTGTAAGATAAATAAAAGCCTTTTCATGTACATATTTTATGTAGAGGTCAATATAATGTGGGCGGGGCATCAGGTCCACCATAGTTCAGAGGACTATAACCTTGTGACTGCACTCAGACAGTCGGCACTTCACAGATATGTTGGATGGGTAAGAGTTATCGTCCTTGCTAGAAAGAGTTAGCGCTCCTGAGCTATTATGAACATTGCTGTCTTAACTTGACATATCACAGCACTGCATTAGATTCCATCAATATATCAGAATGAGACTTTCCTCCTCAAGTTACTTTCCCTTCTTTTTTCGATTAAAAAAGAAGTATTTAATGAATTATGATAGATTTGAAATAGTGTGTGTTTATTACTATTATTATATTAGCTATTTACAATTTAAGTATGCACAAAAAATACAACAGAGGAGATATCTTTTTTATGAAACAAAATGAAAAATTGAAAAAAATATGTGTAAGAAATAAATTAAAACAGAATTCATTAAAATAAGAATCTGTTTCATAGAATTTTTTAGCAAGGATTGCTTATGTAATTAGATTAGAATTTAGATTAGAATACCTTTGTATTACTGACCACCTTGTGTATATTATCATGAGAAATCCATTGTTTACCATTCTAACACTTTATTGTAATATAACCACACAGGCCAGGCAATCATTTTGGTTCTCTGCTAGTTAAATGTCAAACTTCTCATAGTGTAAACTTGTAAGGCATTCCAATGAAATTAAGTTTGACCACAATGGCTACATTGACTCTGAACTTTAAGATGTGGCAATTGATTCATAGTCCTGCAGATATATATGAAGTGTGATGGTCTTCAAAATAGGCATAAACAAAATTACAGACGAAATAAACCCACAGTGACAGATGGATGATTCTTTAAAATCTCAACCTTTTAACTAGAGGTATAATGTTACTGTGAAAACTTTGAAATAATCTGTTTTACGGTTTATCTTTGCTTTTATAAAACCAATTTTCTGTTAAGTCAGACAACGCAATTAAAGTCTAAGAAATTGAAGAACATTTTTTTCTCAATCCAACAAATATCGTTATTGGGACCTCGGTTAATAATTGTACAATTTTGTTACGCAGAAGCATCCAGAATGCTGGTTTATGTCAGCGTAATGTCTTCTTGTTAGGAAACTTGTTTCTGCTTTATAGGTCTTAAGAAAGGTCTTTAAAATGTTAATTACAAATTTATTGTTAATGAAATAACATTTAAATAAAAAGAATAAGCCTTATAAAGCTTCCCCAAACTCTCTATCCAATGCAGAAATGTAGATCCCTATAATGAGTAAACGTCAATTAAAAGAAACAGGTATTTTATATTTTTAATAAATAGCAATGATATGCATAAAAATCTTGTAATTGTTTATTAGTTGCTTTTCCTTAAAAAAAAATAATTGATTCAGTCGCCAATTTGTTTTTGTATCCACTTTCGCGCGATCTCTTGAAAACTACGGAAATACTAATACATGAACATGGTTTAAACACGATGCCCTGGAAATTCTAGAGGTGGGATCAGGTGCCTAGGAGGAGTAAGCATCCCCTGTTGACCGGTCACACCGCCACAAACCCCGTGTTTTATGTTAACGGAACATTTCTAACTCAAATTTAGTATAAAAACTTTTTAAGTCAACGGAACATTTCTAAGTAAAATTTAGTATAAAAACTTATAACAATTGATATGAAACAAGTCTGTAAGCTTAAATACTACCCAGTGATACGACCCAGTGATACATTTTATTTGTAACATTAACAAGGTCATACCAACGACGATAGAATATTATCAAAATGCTGAATGAGAAAAGAATTCAATTTTCATATCCAAAATACAATATAATATTTCTATAGCGCGTTATAATGAAGATACTAGTACTCTAGTGCACTTAATATTAAAATATACATACTGTAAGTATACAAAATGGAGAACAAACCACTTATACAAATACATATATTTGTGCGTAAAAAATAGGATAATTAAAAGATCTTATATAAACTAAAAGACTAAGAAATATTACTAATGTTATGCGCATTATCTGTGTCACACACCATGCCAAACTCGAACCCATAACCTTGACTTAAAATAAAAAAAAATATTTCAGAGTTTTAAAGGAAATAGTTTGCAGAGTTAACAAGCAAATTCAAAGAATTATGTTCCCCCGCTTTCGGTGTCTTTGTGGGTGAGATATAATTTTTTGATGACATTTTATGTCAAATATGAATGCCCTATCGTATGTCATTTGGAAATTATCACCGAAATTGATTTTTAGAAAAAAAAAAATAAGATTAATCGTGAAGGTCAAGGGGTCAGAAATCATCATGCTCGGAAATATCTTGTCACAGGCAGTGCATATATGAAATACGAAAGCTCTATATCTTATCAATCAAAAGTAACTGTATAAGTAAAAATTAACAATTTTGAAAAGTAGGTCAAACTTCGAAACTTTTAGGTCAAGGTCACAAGAACAAAAATCATAGTGTATTTAGAAAGGTTATGTCACAGGCAATACACAGATTTAATATGAACGCCCTATCTCTTCTCATTCAGAATTCATGACCAAGGTTAAAGTTTTTTGAAAAGTAGGTCAAGGTTAAGGTCACATAGTCAAAAATCATAGTGTTTTTAAGCATGTTAGGGGGGTCTTGTCGCAGGTAATACACATTTTGGTAAAAAATCCCTATCTCTTCTCATTCAAAAGTTATGGCCAATTCAAAGTATTTAATTTTCAAAAATTAGGTCAAACTTCAAGGTCAAGATCATGGGGTCAAAAATCAAAGTGTATTTAGAAAGATCTTGTCACAGGTAATATACATGTTTAATATGAAAGTTCTTTTCTTCTCATTCAAAAGATATATCTAAGGTTAAAGTTTTTGTGACGTCGAGCATCCCCAGCCAGACTGACAGAGGGACAGACGAATGAGATTTAATGTCCACTCGCTTTCGCGAAAGCGGGGGACAAAAAAAAATCCGCGGAGACCAGAGGTGCAGTGTACAATGTATGAACTGCTACTGTGTTTGACAGTTTCTGTTACAGAATACCCAAACTTCCAACAACGTTAACATTACATAATTTTTAACAACAACAAGATGTGTTTGTGAAACACTATGCGCCCGGCGGCAACAAATTTTAAAAAAAAACATATTTTTAGCATATAGATCACAGTCAAGGTCACAAGGTCATTGATCTGTGTCATTTGTAAGAACTTGATTAGTGAAGTATACATACCAAATACGAAGTCTCTATCTCTCATGGTTCAAAAGTTATCTTGAAGGTTCAGAAAAGCTATTTTTAGCATATAGGACACAGTCAAGGTCACAAGGTCATTGACCTTGGTGTCTTGTGAAAGGGCTTAATTAGTGGAGTATACATGTCAAATATAAAGTCTCTATCTTTCTTCGTTCAAAAGTTATGGCGAAGGTTAAAATTTGTTGTCAAAAAAGCTATATTTAGCGTATAGGTCACAGTCAAGGTCACAAGATCATCGACCATGGTGTCATTTAAAAGAGCTTAATCAGTGGTGATTGCATACCAAATAAGAAGTCACTATCTTTTATGGTTCAAAAGTTATGACGAAGGTAAAAGTTTGCGGAAAAAAACTATTTTTAGCATATAGGTCACAGTCAAGGTCACAAGGTCATTGACCTTGGTGTCATTTGAAAGAGCTTAATTAATGGAGTATGCATACTAAATATGAAGTCTTTATCTTTCATGGTTCAAAAGTTATGGCGAAGGTTAAAGTTTGCAGACAAATAGATACAGACAGACAGAAAGACAGGACAAAAACAATAACGCCTCGGATCTTTCGATTCGGGCGCATAAAAATAGATTTTTTTGTAGTTCATTACGTTAAATGTTCACATGTTCATTTATGGAACGCCGTCACTGCCTTATAGCAGCACACAACATTGCATTGCGTCAACCTTCCACTACATTATGTCAACACTTTATGACATTTTCTACACTACTATTGCATTGTGTCAACCTTCCATTACATTATGTCAACTCTTTATGACATTAACCCACAATACTATTGTATTATGTCAACCTTCCATTATATTGTGTCAACTCTTTATGACATTAACCCACAATACTATTGTATTATGTCAACCTTCCATTATATTATGTCAACTCTTTATGACATTAACCCACACTACTATTGCATTTGTCCCACTTCCATTACATTATGTCAACTCTTTATGACATTAATGTCAGTTTCCATTACATTTTGTCAACTATTTATGACATTAAGCCACACTACCCT